CCAGCAGCCAGTGTGAGCGGCCAGCAGCCGCAGTGAGCGGCCGCCCAGAAGCCAGCGACTGATCTGCCTCGCCCGGGAAGAGTGCAATGATGGTGCCAACTTGGGCCAGTGAAGCAACGTCCTCCACAACTAGACTGAAGAACAAAACGACGGCAACTTGTCTGTTCCCCTTCCTCCAATTCCCCAGCACTGTTCTCATCCCCCCAATTCCCCAATAAAAATCTTAAAAAAAAAAAAAAGAACACAACACACACACACAGACACACACACACACAATCAAGAATGAACTGTAGGAGATAAATATAAAATGTTACACTGTTTATTTCACTGCAGGAACTTAATAGTAAATTGTAATACACCTTTTGTTCTACATCTGGCTTGGGACTGCAGTTATTGTATAAAATTGCCAAAATTCATCAAACTAAACCTTAAGAAAGGGCAACAGGCTGAGTCCAGGGCAAGAGCCCTGGAAAGCTCTCCCAGCCTCCATCTACAACATTTGGATTTCTGACTGTTAATGAAGAACAACAAGGAGATTAATAAGAAGTATTCCGAAAATGGTGCAAAAATTCTGGTTTAAAATGAAACACTTCTATCCATTCATAATCAATATTTATTGAGAGCCTAATACAATCAACCTCTCTTTTTTTTTTAATAAAACTTATTGGGGTAACAACGGTTAGTAAAATTACATAGGTTTCAAGTGTACAATTCTATAATACATCATCTATAAAACGCATTGTGTGCTCACCACCCAGAGTCAGTTCTCCTTCCATCACCATATATTTGATTCCATTTACCCTCATCTACCACCCTCTCCCCTCTTGCCCTCTGGTAACCACTAAACTATTGTCTGTGTCTGTGTGTTTTTGTTTGTCTTGTTCCTTTGTTGCTTTCAGTTTTATATCCCACATATCAGTGAAATCATATGGTTCTCGACTTTTACCTCAAAATGGATCAAAGGCCTAAAAATAAGATCTGAAACAATAAATTGCATAAAAGAAAACATAAGTACTAAACTTATGGACCTTGGGTTCAAAGAGGATTTTATGAATTTGACCTCAAAGGCAAGGAAGTAAAAGCTAAAATAAATGAATGGGACTATATCAAAGCTTCTGCACAGCAAAAGTACCCATCAACAAAACAAAGAGGTAACTAACCGAATGGGAGAAGATATTTGCAAACAACACCTCCGATAAGGGGCTGATATCCAAAATATATAAGGAACTCATGCAACTCAAACAATAAACAATCAAATCAAAAAATGGGCATAGGACCTGAATAGACATTTCTCCAAAGACAGCCAAACTGTCTAAGCCACCGCAGCACTCAGCATTTGCATTTCCCCCTTGTGTCATCAGCTTTCTCTGAGAAGCATCTCCAGAGAGTGTCTTCACACCAGTGGCAGTCTCCACAACAGCATTCGCTTTTGAGCCATCGTCAGGGGAGCGAGGACTTAATCACTGTCTGATAGGACTAATGCATCTGGCCCAAGCTGCCCTCAACCCCCATCTCTGAAGACTCCTGCACTGCTAACCCCACAGACCTCTGGGATGAGGGTGGGCAGAGGAATGCAGAACACATAACACACACACACACACACACACACACACACACACACACACACACACACACACCCGCGCAGCAGGGGAAAAAGACATGGGGGGTGGGAGGGGGAGTTGAGCAATCTAGTGGCTCAGCTGGACAGGGTTCACAAGCTTTGCCACTTATTTC